GCTACCAAGTGAAGATCCAGATAAGTTACAAGCCTTTCTGGATAGTTTGAGTGCTGGTGAAGCCATGTTCGGTATGCGTTTTGCACCTTCAAAGTGTAAAATGTTGCTTCAAGAATGGGTTGGTTCTGCACCCAACCTCACCCTAACTGGGGAAGTAATAGAGCAAGTAAATAAAGTTTGCTATCTGGGCAGCTATATCTCACCCGGTGGACGCATTGCAGATCAAGTGTCAGCTCGCATACAGAAGGCTCGGTTGGCGTTTGCCAACTTGAGACATCTGTGGCGCCGTCCCGACATCCGGTTGTCTGTGAAGGGTCGACTAAATGCTGCGGCAGTTCGACCAGTTCTGCTATACGGTGCAGAAAATTCGCCAGTCAGGAAGCAGGATAAAGACAGATTGTCGGCGTCGCTGTATACGCATCATTGCACGAATCTGGTGGGGCACCCAGATGAGCAGTACTGAGGTTAGGCACAGAGTTTTAGGTAAATGCGGTCGCCCACTGGAGCAAGTGGTGGACCTCCGTAGATGTCGTTGGTTGGGGCATGTGTTACGCATGTCACCAAATAGGATACCACGGCGAGCGATGTTCGCCGAGGCAGGTAGTGGGTGAAAGGAAGTCAAGGGTGGTCAAACTAAGACCTGGCAAGAAGATATGAAAATCCTAACCAGGAGACTGGGTCACATAGGTTCCGTTAAGCTCCCTGGATGGGGGCATCGGGACGATCATATCCGATAGTTAGAGACACTGAGTGATATGGCTGGGTCTCGTAAACAGTGGCGTTGGTGTATCTTGTCGATTTCTCTGCAAAATTAGTGCAATGGAATCCTAAATTTTCTCTTTGATCAAACTACTTTCAACCTTTCCTGTCCTTCTCCTTATGTTCATCCAAATGGGCAGCCAAAAGACAGCAACCAAAACCGGCGCAAGATAATGCATGATCAATGGTTTTAGAAACTGAACTGAAACTGTGGTATGCTGATCTAAATTCTAACATCACAACACTGACCACGCATTAGTTTGCGCCAAGCTGTCTATGTGCTTCGATGGACGGTTTAAGCGCAACGCGCAGCGACAGTTGGATTGCGATAAGTTCTCTCAACCAGCATGCATGTCCTTCAGAACGCGCTAGCTGAAAAGCTAGAATCAACCCCACTTGATGACGTAAACCAGCACTAGTCGCTTATCAAGAATGCTCTGCATTCTGCTGGCTTAGTTAGTTGTGGTCTAACACGTCGTGCCGCAACACCCTGGGTTTCTGCGGAATCTTGACGCCTTCTCGGCGGACGCCCATCAATCCTAACGAGCAGCGAGCATAATGAAACACGAAACGCAGCGAGTCGTAGCCTCAACCCAAGCTTGCGCAGAGACCGCGAAATCTGGCGGACCCAGCACGCGTCAGAGATGAAACGTGCTGCCGCCATGGGAAATTCCCGCAAGCTGTTCCGTCTCATCCGGGCCACCGGTGGGAAAGACTTGGGTGTGATTGAAACGATCTGCGATGCTGACGGTTCGCCCATTCACAATCAACAGTGACGTCTTACAAGTTGGGTGGAGCAATTCAAAGCACAGTTTAGCTGGCCACCAGCGTCAACTCCTCGCATAGCCATTCCGGCACACGTCCCTTGGTCTGTCACAACAGACTCACTTTCTGATGAGGCGGAGATCCGTAAGGAGATACAAGCCTTGGGACGTCACAAAGCGCCGGGCTCCGATGGCCTTCCCTCTGCTCTATTTAAAAATGGTGGGTTAAAGCTTGTTAGAGAACTACAAGTTCTGTTCTCTAAAGTGTGGAACACTGAGCAGGTTGCCTCCTTGTGTGCGGAGGGAGGGGGGAATCGATTGTCGTCCCCATCTTCAAAAAAGGCCCGCGCGACGACTGCGCCAGTCATAGGGGCATAAGCCTAATCTCGATAGCAGCAAAGCTGTTGACGTCCGTCATTCTCCGCCGATTGTACACTACGCGTAAGGAGCAGGCTGGGTTTCGCGCTGGTCGTGAATGCGTCGATCAAATCTTCACCCTCCGACAGCTGGTAGATCACCGATATGTCTACCAAAGACCAACGGTCGTTGTATTCTTAGACATTCGCGCGACTTTCGACTCTGTCGATAGGACCACACTATGTAACTGTTTGTTTAGAAGCGGAGTTCCTGAGAAGTGTGTCGATCCTCAAAGAGTTGTATCGTCATCCCTCAGGTTGGGTTAGGGCCTATGGCCAGCTTCCGCCACCCTTTGCCGTCTCCAGTGGAGTCCGACAAGGCTTCCCTATATCCCCATTCCTTTTCAACTTTTTCATAGAAAACGCTCTACAGAATGCTTTGATCTAGCAAACGATGGAATTGAACTCCTCTCAGGGAGTCCTTGACTTAGAATATGCCGAGGACATCGCCTTGTTGAGTGACAACATGCAGGCAGTCTAAGACGTTTTGAACCGCTTGGCGATCGAGGTATCCAGATATGGTATGTGCTTTGCACCAACCAAGTGCAAAGTGCTTGTTCATGACTGACAGGAGTCTCATGATGAGTACAGAAATTGGCAAACAAGCTCATTTTCAGTGTGTCTTAATCATGCCATTACAACACGATAAATATGACTAGTATCAAAGGAGGATTTACAAGGAAAAAAGAGAGGGGAAGTAATTAAATATTCAAGAGTTTGTTTCATAATTGGTCCCCAATTATCACTTCCTCCGATGTTGCATGACAAGTCACTTGTCGGCGATCCGGCCATAGGAGCTTGAGTGCTTGCACAAACTGTTTCTGAGCACACAGAGGGGGGTTGTGATAACGGATGGAAACTGCCTCCGCTGTGGCTAGAATGCGAAACCGCACGTGTCTTAACTCTATACAGGGGTCGGAACGCTTCGGTAACGTTTACAATGTGATCAGTGTCGACAAGGCGCGACACGACGGCACTTGTGATTGACTTAATTGCTCCACTTCGCAACCAAGTAGGGTGATGCTCACGGACGCGCTCGGACAGACGCCTGGTCGTGCGGCCAACATACTTTGCTCCACAGGAACAAGTAAAAGAGTAATACAGAAAGAGGCGGCAGAATCGGGCACTCTATCCTCCGTAAATACACTAGCGGGCTAGATGCGAATCGAGTTTGAAGCTTAGCCGCGTAGAACGTTTTGTTGATGGCATTTGATAACCTATGCACAATCTCAGCCAAGGTGTCACGTTTAAACGGTAAAGAAATGTATACAGGCTTCTTCTCAGCAATTACCCTCTTAGGAAATGTCTCTTGCCGTTGCATCATAGATTCTACCAAACGCTCCGGATATCCATTCTGGATGAAGATATTCCGCACATTTTGGAGTTCTTCAACCAGCATGTCCTTCCTTCAAATTTTTCTAGCTCTATTGACCAAACAAAGTATGAGATTTTTCTTCATATTGAGTGGTACAAAGCTACGGAAATGAATGTACTGCCCATTCCAAGTCGCCTTCCTGTGTACTGATCGCCTGATGAATCCGTCATCACAGCGAGTTAGGCAGACATCTAAATATGCTAGTTGATTGTTTGCTTCATTTTCAATCGTGAATTTCAAATTTCGATGCGCAGCATTGAAATGATCCAGTATATTTTGGCACTCCATTGTAGAATCGACCACGCACAAAATATCGTCTACGTAACGTTTGTACAGTATGCATTGTTTGATATGTGTTTTAAGTAGACCGTTTTCTATTGACAGGAGTCTGTCCCTGCACGCATCCTTTCCGGTGATCAGCTAGAAGTTGTTGAGAGCTTTAAGTACTTCGGGAGCTGGAGCACGGCTGGTGGTGGTGTTGGGTAAGAGATCACATCACAAAACGGAAGCTAGAACAGCTTTTGCCAATATACGACACATTTTGCGCCGCCATGACATCCGACTGCCCCTTAAGGGAAGGGTGTACATCACCGCAGTTCGTAGTGTTCTGCTTTACGATTTGGCGTCATATCCACCAACAATTGCAGTGTTCCTCCAACTGAAAGGAGCGTTCGACTCAGTTGACCGCGAAGCTCTAATGAGTTCCCTT